ATATATATATATATATCGTACGGATTGGCACTTTCCGGTAGAATGTCAAATATAGTCCATCAGTGCCTTCATCTCGACTACTGGCTGTTGTTTGGCGCGTGTTCGCTGCACCTATTTTGTATATGCGTCGACGATCTGTATGCGCCTATGACATTCGTACGATTGTATGTAACCGTCGCATCCTTTCTTTCGGCGAGCTTTTACACGACCATTGCTTTGCAGCGTCTATGGTCGGGTCTATGTTGGCCGTCCTCTGGTATTTGAGTATGCTGTCTTCACGGAAACTTCATATTTCGAGACAAGCAAAACGATGCGTTCGATGTCTAAGGCGAATCGCTGGGCAGTTTCATTCGAAATCACTAGTGTGTATGCCAGCAGTGGTGATAGATACCTGATGGTCGTGTGAGGACTGAAGTCTACTTGTTTGACGTCTGACCCTGGACCCTAAAACCCTGAGGCCCCATTTACGCTCTGACGTTGCTGCGTTTTTTTATCGCCCTCGCGTGCTGAGGGGATCATATCGGTTGCCATGGTTACGTCTACGTTACTTTGCCCTGAGGGCTCCATTCCATCACGTTTCACGAGTTCGGCTTGTTGTGGTCCATGCTCACCATGTTATACATTTGACATGACAGGCCAGGAAGAGAAAATCATCTTCATCAGCACGGTGATTGGCAGAAACGTGAGAACAAAATCGCAAATCCTGAAGGGGTTTGGCTCAGGGCTTACGGGTAATGCCAGGCGTTTCAATGTCGCCATCACACGCGCCAAGAGTCTACTAGTGGTATGTGGTACAGTCATGAACCTAATCACCACTTACACTGGTACGGTCTGTTGGTGCCAGGTCGCGCTTGTATAGGTCTATGTGATGACGATTTTGCGTTGGGATTGATATGCGATGGGTGACTGTGCAATCCGCAAAAGGCTACAAGCACCACATAGGGACATTGTTGGGGACGCGCATTGATGTCATACTACAAGTGTCCTCTTTGCATGTCTGGATGATACGGCACATGTGTATGTGTATGCGTATGTGTATTAGTGCATTGACAAAGGCGAGGGTTATGTGCAAGAAGCAAGTAGGCATATGCAGCGTGTATCTTGAGAAATGGTGTAACCACGCGTGTAGCACATGCGATTGAATTATTTTTCTGCGCAATACTAACTTTGTACCGAACATGCACTCTGTGTAGGTGGTCGGCGATCCTTTACCTCTGGTGGGCGATCCATATTGGATGAAATTCATATCCCATTGCATACAGAACAAGACATACAAGGTAACCAAAAGTTTGTTGGTGGTTTAAACCTGCACTTTAGACTATGAAGGTCAAGTAGCGTCGCATTCCGGCTCTCTGTAGAGGGTTCCGTCATGCACTACATGCTTTTGACATGCGCAGTCACCTTGACAATTGGACATTGACTAACAGAATACAAAAAAAAAATTGAAACTATGGTGCCGTCTACCAAATTCTTTTAAGCACAATAATCGATTTCCCGTTCATGACATGCTCGAATTGACCTATTTACGCATTTCTGATTGACATTCTGTTGCTCTCGATAATCTCTGGTCAGGGCTGTCCATGCCCTGTCATTCCGGGTGTTGAAACCAGCACAACGCACGAGCCGGCGAACGTAGACGCACTGGTATGAGTGTCTTTTTGTGGGCGTGTAATTATTAAATCAATGGTATCTTTGATAAGCCATAAACTCACCTAGTTCTTTGAGCAACCCTCGCATGTATCGATACCAGTGTAATCTGCAAATCTACGTAAAGTCGCACTCTCCTGTATATAGTCCACAGATAAGAGGACTTCAAGCTCTCACTTAACACGCAGACACATACAATGCATGCCTAGTACCATACACTTTCAATGCATGCCTAGTACCATACACTTTCAATGCATGCCTAGTACCATACACATTCAATGCATGCCTAGTACCATACACATTCAATGTATGCCTAGTATCATACTCATTCAATGCATGCCTAGTACCATACACATTCAATGCATGCCTAGTACCATACACATTCAATGCATGCTTAGAACCATACACATTCAATGTATGCCTAGTACCATGCACACAGGTGTTGTGCATAACACGAACTCACTACCATGTTCACCGCCACCATACACAAATACAGATCGAACGTATGGGCGCGCTCATGCTGGGCCCTGGGGATGAATCGTTGATGTTCCCAGACCCAGAGGACTTAGCGTCCTTCTACCGAGACGAGCAGGAATTCCGCTGTTTAGTATAAGTGCTTGGGTGTGGCGATTGCCGCGCCGTGCCTTCTCCTATGCACACCTATACTGTGCACAAACTATGTTAATGGGGGCGAATTCTTCTCCAATATGCCCTAGTATCTCGGCTTAAGATGATACGCTAATCAGTAAACCTTCGACTCGAAAGAGTTCTCCAAAGAGCGCATAATCTCATACTCCTATATCCTCGTTCCACAGCTCAGGCCGATCCTTTATAAACTGTTCCATCATCTTAACACACTCCTCCGATTGCACCACTTGCACACACTCCCCTCTCGAGCGCAAGCAGCTCTCTGGGCCTTGGAAAGTTCGGCTCTCGCCCACCACTACGCGGGGAATCTTGTACAGTTGTATGCCCCAGTACACATGTCACACGGCGAAAGTGTGCTGTATAGTGAGGCTCGTTGGTAGTCCGCGGCTTTCAGTCTGCCCGCATTCTCGAGACAGTCCATCTCCGCATGCAGGGTGGCACTCGATTGCTGCACTCTACCAGAGCGTAACCAATACGTATACGGCCAGTTCAGGCTTAGATGTAGTAGCGGTAAATAGCTGGTTGATCACTGATTCCGACGTGAACAGCAGAAACTGACCAAGACAAAGAAAATGGGCCAATTGAAGTTTTGGGTTCGACTTAATCCACTTAGCAAGGACATACTAGTCTATAAATTCGCTTGCTTCATTCACATATATCTTTGTGTCTACGTGAATGCAGTCAGGGTGTCACTAGTCAGTGAAGCTTGACATTTGTTTTAGGGGTACGCTAGAACAAGCATTGGGGTACTGATGAGTTCTATCAGTATTTGACAGGTGAAATCTCATCCACGCCTAAATTAGATGAGCTCAGAAGAAGATACACTAAACATGTGACCTTTTCTCGCGTGTACATATGTAAAACTCATGTCTGTTTCTGAGTCTTATCTGTGTATTGTATATATGCATACAGATATAGACTTAAAATATACTTTTAAATATTGAATGTTGTGATTCTACTACGCATATGTAGATAACAATGATTCGACAAAAATGTTTCAAATTTCCGCAGCAGAATTATCCCGAACGATTGTGTATGTGTAAAGAACAATAGATCATATTGCATTCTAGCCCAGATTACCTTAATTATATTTCACTTGTTCCGAATGCAGAGTACTTTCTTTCGACTTCAATACTTAGCACCGCAGTGGTATTTAAATCCGAGCTACGGCAACACAATTCAACACCAATTACTCGTAAACAACCCATTATTCAGTTCTATGGATAGTGTTGAATACAGGTAAATACTGCGACCATTTACAACAGTCAAGGCCGTATAAGCTATAGATATGCATGCATCTTTATAAGCATATACGTATATAATTGACGCATATTTATACACAGTTATATACATACAAATGTACGACTATATGCTTAAACATCCACAAACACTCATATATATATATATATATATATATATATAAACACACACACACACATATATATATATATATATATATGTAAATATAACACATATACGGATATATGGCATATATATACACGCAAACACACACATATATATATATTTATATATATTATAAATATCTACATATATGCATATATATATATACACACACACGTATATATATATCTATACACACACACACACACAT